CCTGAAGTCGTTCGAAGTAATCACTAGGCTGAAGACACACACACACAACTTACCACCTTCTTGGCAAGTATTGGTTTACATGGAATTCATCGGCTACAGATTTAATCACTTTCAGCTTAAATAATACCTATCAAACAGCTGAAACCAAATATATGCACAAACTCTCATTGCCATATCGATTTAACTGACGCAGACAAGTTAGGCAACATTTTATTACGTCATCTATTTTTACGCATCCTTTGTTCTGCCTCAAACTTCTTTATATGAAAATTGCTGACATTATCTGATAGGATCCCACACATTTTGGTATTGACTGTTAATCTCGCATATAGGTATATCATCATTCCCACACATTTTGTTATCGACTGTTAATCTCGCATAGATGGTATATCATCATTTCTCACGCACTTTGTTATTGATTATTACGATCAATTATTTCAAATGCTGTTGGCTGTCTATATTGTTGTAAAATGTATAAATACCATGGCTTTCTTTGTCTTTGTTGCACTTCAATACACAGTCACAGTCTTTGTCTTTTGATATTTGCGTGCTTCACTGAATCGGAAGGTACCACAAGCTGATAGGCGTATTAGTAAGGCGCAGACAGAACAAGGCGACAACGTCCTCATCTAATTCCCTACAGTTATAATATTATCCCTCTGACTATTATAAATACTTTCTCGTAGTCATGTGATTGGACATGTTAACACACTACATGTAATAAATTACGTAACTCCTAACTAATCCTGTTAAATCAATTTGATGTAAATATTTAGTCAGAAAGAAATTTAGGAAAATAAAAACAACAAGAATTTGACATTTCCACTGACCAAATAAACAAACAAAGTAGGAAATATCAAGTATTGGTTTTGTAGAGATTTTGTCTGACTGGATGGAGGATTTCATCATGAGCTGAAATTGGTTAGAGAAGTATTGGAAAACCATCCACAGGGAGTACTGGACAGCTGTTTCAGCCTAGCTTGGGCATCTTCAGATGTACACATCCACTACAGGGGTCCCAACCCATGACCCTGTGATTACAAGGTGAGCTCGTAGATCATTAAGCAACTGAGACCCGATCCAATAGCCAACCCATGAATTCTAACTTCTACCAATTCACGACATAGCGCGACTACTTCGCAATGGTCTTCGATGGGTAAGTGTTCTCACCTTCGACCTGCTCTACTCTACTGGTCACGGATTCACACTAGAACCACAGGTAACAGCAGGTTAGGTGTAACGACAAATGCTCGCCAGTGATGATATTTGCTAGTGGACGCACTATATATCGTGAGTTTTCAGGAGCTGGAATTCATGGGCTGACCAATAGATCGGGCCCCAGTGGCTCAGTGGTGGTCTACGAGCTCACCAGCCGTGTAACTCGAAGATCCTGTGTTCGAAACCCCCTGATGAAGAGACATACTAAGACGAAGCAGCCGTCCAGTAATCTCAGCTGCTTTTCCAATGGTTCAGCTCATGATGAAATTCTCCAACCAATCAAAGTAGTAAGTAGTTGAATACACGGATGGAATCATTTTAATTCTTCACATAAAAAACTAGAATATTACAACAAAATAAAAATTATCGTATCATCCATCACAACCGCCACCATCATATAACCTTGAAAGATGAAAGGTTAGCGGAATAAACTTCATCATTCTCTGTCTGGATTCAACATAGAACTTGGCACCGAAGTGCAGCAGTTCGAGTTGCCACCTTCCAAATAGCACACAGAGGTAGACAAGAAGATGAGTGAAGAGAATCAATACAGTCTGACAAGTATAAGAGTGAAACAGAATGGGTAATGTAGAAAGGAATACGAAAGATTACAGAGACTGAATACATCTGCGCCATTGACAACGATTTTGAGCCATGTCACCTATTGTCTCCAGCCATTGATTCCTAGAGTCCCGAGGGCCCCAACCCGGGAGTCTGCATCTCCCTACCTGACCGACTCAGTTGAACTTTCATGGATTGATGCCATGCCATGTTTTTGTTTGGCCACCACTGGCTCTTTTCCAACCTGCACCTATATCAGCTAGTAATGCCCGTCGGGGGAGGCGGTGGTTAGGTATGCGCAGCACGTGACCTAGCCATCTTAGTCTATGTAACTTTATAGCCTCGTCGATTGATTTTCCCTCTTTGCCCAACACTCTACGCCTAACGTCAACATTACTTATCTTGTGAAACCACCTAACGTGAGACAGAGATCGCAGACGTCTATGATCGAAAGCAGTCAACCTTTTCATGTCTTCAACGCGTATTGGCCATGTTTCAGAGCCATAGAGAAGGACGGAGCGAACTGATGAGCAGTACACACGTCCCTTGGTTGATAATCGGATATCACGCCTACGCCAGAGATGGTGTAAGTCAGCGAAAGCAGCTCGAGCTTTTCGGATCCGTGGTGAGATTTCATCGCCAATCAGTCCGTTGGGGCTGATACAACTTCCCAAATAGGTGAAGTGGTCAACATGTTCTATCACTTCACTCCCTATCACTAAGTTAGGAGTTGACGTGGTCCAGTCCTGTAGCAGCATCTTACATTTTGTAGGGGCGAATCGTATGCCAAACATACGAAGATTGCTGCTCAAGGTGTTCAGAAGACTCTGCATTTTGTCAGCATCCTCCCCTAACAGGACTATATCGCCTGCATATTCTGAGTCCATAAGACTATTCCCTGGTAACAAGTCGATTCCTAAGTCATTACGTTCAGTTAAGGATACTTCCATCAGCATATCTACGAAACTTCATCATTAGTAGAAAAATAGATTTTACAATCATCTAGCAGACAAACACAAGCCTCACAAAGAAACAACAAACACGATACAACACAACACTGTCTCAAAAATAAAGGTTTCGTCAAAATGAATAAATAAACGCACCAGACTCTATATATATATCCTGTATAGTGCAAACACTTTTACCGAAAATAGAGAATATTAAACAGAATATTTGAAAATACACTCTTAGCCAAAAGCATTATAGACATTTATTATACAGTTTGGAATTCCACAATTTGTCCACATCAATTATTTTTATAATGAATGAATGAGGTGACGAAATACGGTGCATTATGAAAAAAAATATATAGAAGACGAAAGGATTGAGCGCAGAAATATTTACTTTTTAATTAGATCCTCATCTATGACTCTACTCTGACATACATATTTTTTTCAAGAGTTGATGTGTTCCTTGAGTCTTACCCCACGGATTGATAGCAGTTAGACAACCATTGTAAATCATCCACAAGGAGTACTGGACAGTTGTTTCATCCTAGTTTGGAGTCATTGGCAGTAACTCACCCACTGCAAGGGTTCAAAACAGGACAAACAAGCTCGTATACCATTCAGTCACTGCTAGGACCCTACTGAATGGTCATTACCTGAATTCTAACTTTTACTAATTCGTGATTTTAGCGTCACCACAACCCATTGTCATCGGTGAGCATTTGTCCTTACGTGTAATGTATTGGCGCAACACATTTCGAACTTACTGATCACACACACGTACTTGTCATACACCGTTTTTTTTATAGAAGGCAAGTAGGCATGAATAATTACAATACAGGTCAAGGTCACAATTAATGGGTAGGGAGACGCAAAAGGTGTGGGTGAGAAAGAAAAAATGAAAAAAAAAACAAGGCAAAGAAGGGGTTAAAACTATTATGAAGTAAGTATTTGTCCTCAAACCTGACCCGCTGCCTGTCAAATGCTCTGATGGTGTTCTCGTGACTTTTGTTGCCAGATCTGCCAAGGGCGATGGAATAGTACGCGACCTAATGGTTGTGTGCAAGGTTTGAAGAAGGCTGTGTGCTATATGCATGCGCCTCGCCCTGATAATGTTATTATGAAGTAAATTGGACCTTGGTTCTAGCTTGGATTAACAAGGCAGGTTTAGGGTGATAACAAATAACTTTTGAACACATAAGACAGGTTTAAGTCTTTTTATGACTAAGGCTTCAATGAATTTAAGTATGTGGCCTGACCTTGTTTTATATATCGGCTTAATGGCATTGTTGAAATCAACCTTGTGACCCGTCAGTATACTGTACTTCGCTGTAGATGATGTTGGACATCTATTTCCGGGGTCCAGATTATTCTGCACCAATGTTTCTTCTTTCTTCGTTTATATTTCTATATATATCATCCCAGTAATTAGTAGGCATGTTACAGTAAATCTGTCCTTCCTATACCTGTAGAACCTTTTTAGCTGTGTCATTTTTTAAACTGAATATTAAACAGAGTGTCGTCGAAGCGTCTGTACGAAAATCGATTAAACAATAGCCACTGGTTGTCATGGTTTAGGGGATAACGCTAGCTATTGGTTTCGAGTCCTAATGGAGTTGCAAGTGAATCAAGTTGACGAGTCCTAAGCGGGACGAAACACACGCATCGTCGATCTCACTGCTAACCAGTACCAACCGAGTGACATTTGTTACAGAATTTCATCATGAGCTGACATTAGTTGGAGAACCATTGGAAAACCGGCTGGGAGTACTGGAAAGCTGTTTCGTCCTAGTTTGGGACTTTCCATGAGCACGCACCCACCGCCGGGGTCCGAATCCAGGAACTTCTGGTTACAAGGATAGCGAGCTCGTAGACCAATAAGCCACTGGGACTCGATCCAATGGTCCATGAATTCTAACTTCTGCCAATTCACGACATAGCACGACCCCTAGTCAATGTCTTCAGCGAGTATTTGTCCTCACACCCGACCAGCTGCACCCTACTGGTCACGACTTCTCACTAGAACCACAGGTAACCACCTACCTGAATAGGGCTAGTCGTTAGTGGGCATCTCATTGATATTCAAGAGTTGGTTTGTAGGGATTTGGTTGATTGGTTACAGGATTTCATCATGAGCTGACATTAGTTAGAGAACCACTGGTAAACCTGGGAGTGACATTTGTTTAACTTGAATTTAAACAATCCTTTTAAACTTATTCATATCCGGTGTTTTATTAATCTTGTATTTTATTCACTTATTTTTTAATTAATCAGATTTGGTGAAACGGCTGGTGCTGCTCTAGTTGTTCATCCTGGTGTTGATAAAATTGCATTTACTGGTTCTACGGCTGTTGGGCAATTAGTCGGTCAAAATGCCTTCAAACATGGTGTAAAACGTATTACTTTAGAACTTGGTGGAAAAAGTCCATTAATTATTTTCAGTGATGCTGATTGTAAGTTGTCTTGGGGAATAATGTTGTGTTGTTCAGTTGAAAAAGTATCATTGATATAAGAATAAAACTTGTGCACTGTGGTAGAGTGTAATTCCATTATGGATAAATTTTGTTTTGATAAAGTCCCTCAGTGTTATTGATATTAGAATAAAACTTGTGCACTGTGGTATAGTATAATCCCATTATGGGTAAATTTTTGTTTTATACCAGTTATACCATATAAAGAGGGGACATCTAAAACCCTACGTAGGATTCTAAATAAAGCAGGAATTAGGGTGGCATTTAAACCTACAAACTCACTCAGGGACAAGCTCTGTAGGTTAATTGTTTGAAGTTAGTGCTTGCAAGAAACAAATGATTATCTGAACAGAACTGTAGGAGACGGTCACCGTTCTTTCTTCTTACTTTCTTCTCTTGCTTCGCGTGCTACACGAATGTGGCGACTTAAACTTCCGCACATTTGTGCAAAGTTCTATGTCGAAAACAGACAGACAGACAGTCTGTAGGTTAAAGGACCCAGTTGAACCAATTAGACAAAATAATATAATTTACAAAATACCATGCAATGACTGTGAGGTCAAACTAGTAGGTCGGGGTAGTCAGTTTGTCGGAACATAAGAATTTAGCTGAGGTAAGAATAGGTGACCCCAAGAAGATAAGTAATTTATTTAAAAAAGCTCAGCAATTGCAATGCATGCATTGACACACAAAATGGGATGGTGGGAGAGGGTTAAAACTCTAAAAAGTAATCCATGTAGGTGGAGAGAGAGAGGTTGGTTACTGAATCCTGACTGGTTCATCGAGTCTACACCCAACACATGCAATAGGAATGACTCATCACTCATACCTGAAATGTGGAAAATACTAATACCAATCAAATCAAGTGAAAAACAATGGAACTATATAAATGATGTTAGTAAGTCGTGTGAGGAGTACCTTGATATGATTATGAGCAGTAGTAAATTGTGCTCGAAACGTGGTCATCAGTAAACATTACTGTATCCCTCAGTGCTGTTATGTTGTAATGCTTTTACATATGTCGTATATGTCGTCGCTTTTTGCCCTTTTTTCTGTGAACTGTTTCCTTTGTTGATGTTGTTCTCATTGTTTGTCCGTTATTTTCTGATTTTGAGGGGAGCAACCCAAAAAGTTGCTTCTCTCTAAACTTTTACTTAATGTAATCATTCTTTTCTCAGGCGTGAGGCTAGCAACCCCACCCTGTAAACAAAATTGCTACAGAACCTTCAGCAAAATGAACCTCTTTGCACCAAAAGAAAAAGTCTGTGTAGGAACATGGAACGTCCGAACTATGTACGAGACTGGAAAAGCTGCCCAGATCGCCAACGAGATGAAAAGATACGGAATACAAGTGCTGGGAATATGTGAGAGCAGATGGAATGGGAGTGGACTCACCAAATTGTCAACAGGTGAGTCAGTGATCTACTCCGGTCACCCAGAAGATAACCACACGCACACCGAGGGCGTGGCTATCATGATGTCACCAACGGCAACGAAAGCCCTGATACAATGGGAGGCGATTTCGTCCAGGATAATGACCGCCAGGTTCAACTCCAAAGGAAGGAAAGTGTCAATCATACAATGTTATGCACCCACAAACAACGCAGACCTCGAGAAGAAAGAAGAATTCTACAGGCAACTACAGGCAACAATGGACAATACTCCAGCTGGCGACATGAAAATACTAATGGGAGACATGAACGCCAAACTGGGACCAGACAATACGGGAAGGGAACTCATCATGGGTAGAGAAGCTCTAGGAGAAATGAATGAAAACGGAGAACTCTTCGCCGACTTCTGCGCCTTCAACGAACTGGTGATTGGTGGCAGTGTATACAAGCACAAAGATATCCACAAGGCTACATGGGTGTCACCAGACGGGCAAACCAAAAACCAAATCGACTTCATCTCAATCTCAAGGAAGTGGAGGCGCAGCCTACTGGACACAAAAGCAAGAAGAGGAGCAGACGTTGGCTCAGACCACTATCTCGTACAAGGGACAATCCAAATCAAATTAAAAGCTTTCAGGGAAGCAGGAGCTGCAGATAGACCACAAGCCAAGTTCAACACTCAAAAGCTGAAGGACCAGGCTACAAAGGACATCTTCATTGCAAGCATAAAGGACAAAGCCGAGACACAAATCAACACTAGCGAAGAGGTCGGCGTTGAAAAGCACTGGAACAACTTGAAAACGGTGTGGAGCCAAACCTGCATAGAAATTCTAGGCAGAAAAAAGAGACAGGACAAACAGTGGCTCACTACGGACACTTGGAAACTAATAGAAGAGAGAAGGACAGTGAAGCAAAAGATTATCCAGTGCACCGACGAGCAACAAAAACAGGAGCTGAATGCAAGCTACAATACACTGAACAAAAGAGTGAAGAAAAGTGCCAGGGAAGACAAAAGAAAATATTATGAAACCATGGCAAACGAAGCAGAACAAGCTGCAGGCAAAGGAGACCTCGCCACACTCTACCAAACAACTAGGAACCTTTCGGGCAAACGTTCGACACAGATTAAGCCAATAAAGGACGACAATGGAAAGTCAATCACCAAAGAGGTGGAACAGAGAAAGCACTGGGTTGAACACTTCAAAAGACTTCTAAATCGTCCGCCACCTACAACACGTCCAGCAATACCAACAACGGAAGCAGAACTACCAGTGAACACTGACCCCCCGACGAAATCAGAAGTCCTGAATGCAATCAAGATGCTTAAAACTGGGAAAACACCGGGACCAGATGGAATCCCAGCAGAGGCTTTGAAAATAGACCCAGAGACAACAGCGGACTTGATGACACCACTACTGGAGAAGGTGTGGAAAGAGGGCAAAGTACCCGAGGATTGGAAGAACAGTTACTTATTCAAACTTCCAAAGAAAGGAGACTTAAGTCAATGTAAAAACTGGCGTGGAATTATGCTTCTGTCCATTCCAAGCAAGATACTAAGTCGCATCATCCTGGAGAGAATCAAACAAGCCCTAGATGAAAAACTTCGTCCGGAACAGGCTGGATTCAGGAGAAACAAATCATGTATTGATCAAATCGCCACTCTACGGATCATCATTGAACAAAGCTTGGAATGGCAGTCACCTCTCTATCTCAACTTCATCGACTTTGAAAAGGCCTTCGACAGCGTCGATCGAGAGGTCATTTGGAAACTACTTCGCTACTACGGGGTCCCATCGACAATTATACACCTCATCCAACAGTTATACGACAATGCTGCATGCCAAGTAATCCACAACGGGAAACTTACGGAAGCCTTCGAAGTGAGGACGGGAGTGAGGCAAGGCTGTCTACTATCACCAATGATCTTCCTGATTGCAATTGATTGGATAATGCGACAGACAACGGCAACCAACGAGGGAACAGGCATAAAATGGACTGACACAAAAGACTTGGAGGATCTGGATTTCGCCGATGATATATGTCTGATTTCCCATAAACTGGAAGATATGCAAATGAAAAGTAACAAGTTGGCAGAAGAAGCATCAAAGATAGGACTTCACGTGAACATAGATAAAACAGAGATGATGAAGATTCCTAGCCAACATCAACAGCAACAACAGACCACAATAAGCATAAATGGGAAGAACCTGAAAGAAACAACCTCCTTCACCTACCTGGGAAGCATCGTCTCAACTACAGGCGGAACTGACGAGGACATCAAAGCCAGAATCGGAAAAGCAAGACAAGCTTTCATTACTCTCAAATCTGTGTGGAGGTCAACAGCATTCAGCATCAAAAATAAGATCCGGATTTTCAACTCCAATGTGAAGTCAGTGCTACTATACGGATCAGAGACTTGGCGAGTCATAAAGAGCATCTCAAACAAACTTCAAACCTTCATTAACAACTGTCTCCGCTCAATACTCAAGATCAGATGGCCAGAAAAGATCAGCAACAGGGATCTCTGGGAGCGAACCAATCAGGAACCGATTGTGAAACAAATAGGCAGAAAGAAATGGAGATGGATTGGCCATACGCTGAGGAAACCATCAAGTGACATCACTAGACAAGCCCTCGAGTGGAACCCGAAAGGGAGGCGGCGAGTTGGTCGTCCAAGGGTGACTTGGAGGAGGTCATGTGAAGAGGAGATGAAAGCATGTGGGCAGACCTGGAGCAGGGTGAAAAAGTTGTCAGAAAACCGAAGTCAATGGAGGTGCGCAGCTGAAGCCCTATGTTCCTCTAGGAACTAAAGGATACAATAATAATAATAATTGTTTTTCACTTGATTTTCGCTTGATTTGATTGGTAGTAGTATTTTCCACATTTCAGGTATGAGTGATGAGTCATTCCTATTGCATGTGTTGGGTGTAGACTCGATGAACCAGTCAGGATTCAGTAATCAACCTCTCTCTATTTCTACCTACATGGATTACTTTTTACAATTTTAAACCTCTCCCATCATGCTATTGTGTGTGTTAGTGAATGCATTGCAATCGCTGAGCCTTTTTCTAAATTATTTATCTTTTCAGGGTCAACCATCCTTACCTTAGCTAAATTCTTATATTCTGACAATCTGACTACCCCTGACCTACTCGTTTGACCTATATAGTTAACCCCCACAGTCATTGAAAGGCACTTTGTAAATTATATTATTTTGTTTAATTGGGTCCACTGGGTCTTTTAGCCTACAGAGCTAGTCTCGGAGTGAGTTTGTAGGTTTGAATGGCACCCTAATTCCTGCTTTATTGAGAATCCTACGTAGGGAGGGTCTCAGATGTCCCCTCATTATATGGTATAACAGTGGATGACTTATATTCTCTCTCATTTATATTATCATTACTAGTTTCACGATTATTTTTATTTTTCGTTTGGCCTTTTTCGATCTTCCTAATGAATTTTAAAGGATAGTTAGTTATTTAACACCAAAGCCTCTTCTATCTGTTTTATTTCATCATTTAGGTCTTTCCTTGTGCTGCTTAGTGCTACTGCTTGGTTTGTTGAACACTTAACAAGTAGGACTGCCTTAACAGT